CATGCTATGTTACTTCTATTAAAAAAACATACGATATATATAGCAATATAGTGTTATTCTTAGCATTTATGAGTTAAATTCTAACATAAATAGTAAAGAAAAAGTGCAGTCAATATCTATGCTGAAACAGAGTAAATAAGGACAATATATATGAAAACATCAAAAGTACTTTTACAAAGTTTTTCATTTGAAACATCAAAATTAAATGTCATGAGATCTCGAAATGTAAAACTGTGGAAAAAAACAAATGGTATACATCAATGCAATGTTTCAAATGAACTTAACTGTGACCTGTATGGCCACAAGATGACAAGGAATATTTTTGTTAATATTTTTGAGCACAGACTGGAATGCAGACAGTTTTAAACATATTTATTTTCTCCCAAAACAAGCACTAAGAACTACAAGACAGGATGAATATTTTCTGCACACCTTTGTTTTCTTTCATTTTTACATTTTAACCCATGTAATTTCAGCCATGATTTTAATTTTGAACTTTGCTTAAAATTATATTTTGGGGTAATTACAAATGTATTTTCAATTAAATCATGGATATAGTTAATCCTTAACTTTGCCCTATTGCCATCTATTTCTTTTGAATTTGCTCCCCTTCTTAAATTAAAATCAAACATGTGACTGCTAAAAGATAATATTATCATGAGTTTTTCTAATCATTCCAAGAATCACACACACATACATGTTTCATTTTATGCAAGCTTTTATGGCCAGGTTCATTAATATGCTGTGGCTGTTTTATGCTACTCTGGAGCTGTACAAAGCAGCCAGAGCATACTGGCTGGTTCAGCTAAATTTACAACGCCTTTGTTGAATAAAAGCAGTGCAAAGCAGTTGGAAGGCACAGCCCAGCTCCCTTCTGTCTGTTGCTTCTCCTTCACTCTTCTGAACACTCTCATTTGTTTCCACCGCCTCCTGCATCTTCTGTATTCCATTCTACAGAAACACATCTCTCCTGTCCCCTGCAAACTCCAAGCACACACATAGACATATGTGCATATACAACACAGACCTGAGCCTCTTTCTGCTGCCTGCTTTACCGAGCACATCTGGTGTAATGTGGAGCTTATGAAAATAATTATTTGAACATTACTAGTCAACCATTGCTCTTATTTTTTTCCTAGAACTGTTGGCAGAAGAGAGTGGATTACATCCTCATAAACTCAAGTGCAAAATCATCCTCTTAGAAAACAGCCACCATCTCCTTTGGCTTTCAAAGAGATTAAAGTAAATTTAACCTGAATAGGTGGAAGTAAATGATGAAACGAATTCTCTAGAGGGATACTTCAGAGCTTAAAAATAATGGAAAAGAGCTGTGCATTTTTGTTATCTAAGGAGAAAAGAAGAGATGCTTGTCCTTTAGAAAAATGTCATTATTCCAAAGATTTTTGTAGCTAGGCCAGTTCCTTACCTATGGTAAACATCAAACAACACTTTTCTAGTAAAATTAAATGGCATAGTGATTTGATTACTGCAATTATTTTCCATTCTACAGAAATTTCTCTATCCTACATTTTCTACTACCTCCTTGTAGTTAATACAAGCCAATATCTTTTATAAATGAAGGAGCATTCTTCATCTTCAAAATGGCTACAGCCACTTAAATTTGATTTTGCAAGAGGGTTAGTTAAAAAATATAATAAACTTTTCATATAGCACTGAAATCAAAATGGCAGACACAAACCAGCACTGTAATTTTTCCTCTTCCCCACTACAGTCCCACTGTAGCCACTCACTCAGCATGCCTTTGAAGTGATTACTTTGTGTTCAAATTTTTCTGCATTTTTCACACATGAAAGTTGTTCTTTCCTGCAGAAAGAGAAAAGTTTCTCAAACTGTTTGGAGGAAGAGTGAGGTGGAATATTATTCAGTCCTAAAAAGACTTACATAAAGTAGATTTATCTAGGTATTTATACAGTGGGAAATAACTAGCATTCTGCTACCTGCTTATATATATATGTATGTGTGTAAATGCTTCTATAAATATATTCTGACCTAAACCCGAAGTATCTGATTTCAAGTACATAGTCACATATAATACCTGGTTATGAGCTGAACTCTAGAGACAGAATAAAAGCCTTGGTCTCTTTTTCTGTGGACATTATCATTCAGAAGGATCTCTGCTGTGAAATTTGACAGTCAATCAAGTAATAACGAGCTACCTAGTGTCAAGGCTGGTGACACTTCAAATATGTGCTCGGCACAACTCTAAGATGAAATTAGTGCTCTTCTGGTGAGAAAGTGAAAGCTATGTGCACCCCCTGGGGAGTTTTAGATTATTTTAATGCAAATTTCTCAGTTCCTAAGAACTCAAAGGATTAGGCTCTGGAGCCAGCCAGTAAGCAGGAAGCCTTGGCTTCTCTCCAAACAGTCTCCACCCATCTGCAAACTTTTCACACCTTGGTTATGGTGGAGAGAACCTTCACCAGTATCCACTCCTGCCTTCACCAGGGGATGAATACTGCCTAACCTCTCTGGTAGGTATAAAGAGAAAATCTCTCCATTTTTCCCTTATTTTTCTCTTAAGATTGAGGATGTTCAAAACTTGCTCGACATCTTAGTTTGGACCTTGTCTGTCTTTCTATAAAAGCATGTAATCTAATATAAAAAAACAAATCATATTTTTCTGTCTCTGCAACTCACTTATTTTCTTAAAAAATGCCTTGTTGTAGACAGAAACTCCAGAACAACAGCTGATTTGTTGGGACAGCATGGCAATTCTTCTATTGATTTTCTGGATTTTTCTGGACTCTTGCCAGTCTGCTGTCTCGCAATTCTGTTCTGGCCAAACTGAGAACTTAGGCTACATCATGTGTGACATTTTGGATAATAGCAAGGATGGATTCTGGCTCACAGATAAAATGTCTCTTTACTAGGAGCTGTAAATCTACCTACCACTCAGACCAGATCTACAGAAACAGCTACCTAGTCTATCCTAAGTAATTCACAAATTGTTGTATCCACCCTTCTAAGGTCCATGTTGTTTGCTTCAATGATCCTCATTCAAAACTGTCATACCAGTCATACTAAATCCATGTCAGCAAGACCTACAGAGGGCACAAAGACTGTGACCAGGTCAAAAGGAGCTGGAGAGTGTAGGGAAATATTTCCTGTTGTTGCTTGGAGAAAAACATTCACATTCATTACAACATTAATCACAAAGTTAAATGAATGCATTTAAAATAGCAACATTAAATTTATTTGCCTTAAAAAAATACAGTTAAGTTTATGTCTGCATATAATTAATCAGAGTGCAGTAAGTTACATGAATTTTTATTTTCCTGAATAGTGCTGCTTTGCTTAGGAACAGAGACTGAAATTCCCTCTAACTCTGAAGCAGAGTAATAGGCATAGCAGCAATACTAGCTGCTCCAAACAATTTCCTAGTGTGCCTTAAAATAGAACTGTGAAGTACATATTTGTAAATGCACTATTAAGCCCAGGTATTTGTCATCAGGATAGCAGGGGTACCAATTGTGGGTACAGTCTCAGTATGTGAGTCTTCTGTTGAATAAACTGGGACCACCATTCTCAGCATCATTAGATGGACACATTACCTATATCATTAGTGGGACAGTTTGGATCCAAACCAAGAATGTTGGGGTGGAAATACCAGAGATATTAGTATCAGACACTAATACCAGTGATTTGAACCATCCAGTTCCTTAACTTACGTAAAAATCTCATGGAAGTACAGGAAATATCCTGAAAAGAGCTTGAGGCACTACTGAGTGTAGAAAATTTGGAGCCCTCCACTTACAATTTGTTTAGACTCTTTAAATACAGACAAATGTAAATAAAATTAAAACTTTTTCCACAATAACAGTGGGATATTGTAAATGTGTAAAGCTCTTTCTCTGACTGGGGCTTAGACTGACTTCAGGTACATTGTTTATTAGAAACTCTGTATATTATTTCATGGGCTGCACAGAAGTTCTTTGGAAAAAAAAACAAAAACACACACACACAAAAACCCCAACATATGAAACAAGAGTTTCATGGATTTTTGGGGTGTATTTTCAATAAGGTATAGTCAAAACCTGTTAAAGATAATTGCACTACTTCAACCTAAATGCCTTGAAAGAGATCAGAGATATACATTGGTTTTCTTATTGCCTTTCTTGCATATCATTCTCCTTTAAATGGAACTCCTTTTCAGAGGTGTAGCATTTGCCCAAATTTGAAAGATGAACCCTTCACCTTCCCTAAACTTCACTAAACCCTTCTGCTGGATTGCTTTGCAGTGAAAGAAATGGTGTATGTAAGATGGGACACTGAAACTCTAAAAAGATAGTGGTTTGGACTGTTCTTATCTCCTCTGTTCCTATAAAAATAAGACTTCATAGATTATGAAGCATCAACTATGAAGGAATAAAATTTCATTTATGAACGAGCTATTGAGAATATTTATTATGAACGAGCAAAGAGAAATACAGCATGCAACATTTCCTATCATTCTTATTGAAGTATGTTAAAATTATTTACTTTTAATTAAATAGCACTTTACTGCAATTTGTAGAAAAAAAACTAATTGCCAAATCTGCTAGCATCATAATGAGTCTTTTAAGTGAATGAAGAACACTGGAATTGGACTATACTTCATATTGCTTTCTGTCTGCCCTACTGGCATGTAACTGCAATCAATGTGAACGTGAACAGTAATTTTCTTCTGCCTGATATAAATACTTACATTTAAAATTTATGGTAGAGAAGTAAGCAAGATCAAAGTAATTTTACTGGCATAGCATAATAATAAAATCACAAGTGACCAATTAAAAAATTAGAATTCTTTTTTGTTGATTCTGCATGGATGATCACAACGATTAAATTACCTATTTTTTAATTTACTAAACTCTCATATACTGAGATACCAGGATGAATTTAGTTTCACCATGGATTATTCTCCTGACTTTCAGTATTAAATGAGCTCTTATTCATGTGCTTTTGTTCTACAAATAGTTTTCAGAACTCCAAATGGTACCAACCTGAATGCTGTGAGATACTCAACATCACCCATAGGAGGATCTAAGCCACCTGTCCAAGCAATATTTATGTTATACCCTTCGCCAGGGCCACTTCCAACCTGAAAAATAGAAATAAAATGCCAAAAAGAGAGAAAAAGAGGAAAAAGGAGGAGGAAAATAGAGAGGGAAAGGGGAGAAGAATTTTCTCAAATGTGCTTTAGAAACAAACATCAAATAACATGTCAGATCAGCCTTGTTTGACAAGGACTGCTCTGGGTTATGCACTTGTTCTCCACTGGTCCCCTGCTCCCAGTGGACAATTTGGTAATCTGGTGTAATTTAAAGAACCAGAGAAGGACAAGAAAATTAGGGGTAATCATGCAACGCAATTACCTGAAAGATACAAATAAAAATGGGGCTCTAAAGAAATAAACCTAACCTCATTTGGGGCTCCACTGCCGGGGAAGAAGTTGCCTTCATCATAGCGATGGAGGGAAACATACAGGATGCTGGGGTCAGCATAAAAAGCCTGCTGTGTACCGTTGCCATGGTGAACATCCTAAAGGAGAAAGAAAACAGATGACAAATGTAATAATGTCCAACTCAGGGTAGAGAGCTCAGTTCTGCTTTCTTTTACACCCCCCTCCTCTCTCTCTCTCCCAGTTTCTCTCCCTCTCCCTTGCCCTCCTTTTGTCTTTCCCTTTCCCCCTCCCTTCACCACCCCATACTTCCTGAACTTTCAGGCAAATTACTCTTTAATGCACTCATTTTTTAAACTGGCTTCTAAAAATCAGGAAACCATAGCGAGCATGCCCTGGAGACTCCAGATGAGCAGTCATTGAGAAATCCCAGTCCTTTTGTACAATTAGATATTTATACACCGGCTCTTTGTACTCCTTGCCTCAGTGATGGAATCTAGCATCCTGTTTTATGGAGGAATTTTATGACTTATTAACTGCCAACAGTTCATAACCCCTCAGGCTTAATTAACTAGCCTCATTGGCCTCTGAAGAAAGACTAATGTTTAAACTACAAACTAGTATTTTGCAGAAGGATCTATGGTTTACAGAGCTTTTTCACAATTCTTGACAGAACACTAAACATAAGAGTATTCATTGATTTGCCAAGTTCCACTATTGAGGTCAAAGGCTCTGCGACCAGCTGAGTAAATTGGCTTTCTTGAAACATTCAGTTCAGTTCAGTCCCTCAGCAGTTAGATCCACATCAAAAGAGATGCCAGATGCGGAAAGGACTTCATACTTCATTTTTGCAAAATCATGACGGCAACAGTTGAAGACATAGGAATATGATCTCATTAGCTATTAAATCATCTGCCAGATAGGATGGTGCCTTCCACAATCAAGGAGTGACCTTGGCCAGTCTCCATATTTCAAACATTATATAATGACAGTGAATAAAATTCTGTCGTTAAATAAAATGCTGACAAAGAAATGCTGACAGTATATCTATATAACAAAGGCTGATGATACAGACATTTCCTTTTTTTTAGTTTGTTTTCACAGTTCACTACTATTCTATGTGGTTAGACGCACAAGGATTTTACAAGTGAAAACAGAAAATCCCCTTGCCTTTCAGTAAAAGTGGAAAAAACAAAACCAAACCAAAACAAAAAATGTTTCTTCACTGGCATTTCTAAGAAGCTGAAAAGTTATAGATATTATTTATTTTCCTCCTTTAAGCTATCCCTGTGAAATTTCTGATTTAGAAAATTAAGGGGGACAGACGAAGTATGCTGAACGGCAACACTATCACTGTCACCCAGTCTGTATTTATTTTACAATTGTTATGAGGTCTAAATCCAATTTAGTGTCCACCAAACAGAAGTCACATTCTCCTCACTATGCCTACTCCAGGAAGGCTCAAGTTGTACCTCAAGGTGTGCACTGCCAATAGCACAGCAAGCACTGAACATTGCTTGTCCTCCTTGCCAGCTGAAGCAGCCCATGAGTTTCACCCAAATTGTTCAGAACTCTCTACATTGATTGAATCCTACTTGTACTGCATTGTGCTTGACTTGGACCTCCTCTTGGATCTCTGTAGGATAGTATTATAAGAGTTTCTTGTCTTTTCTATGTTGAAAGTACTTGAAACAACATGAGGATGGAGTTACAGCCCAACTGTGACTTAATGCCAAGGTTAAATGTAACACATGAGACGTGCAAAGAACACACTGGTATGAGGCTGTTGAAGATTTCAAGGCAGCCAGTGTAGTGTTAGATGGTTCTGACTAGCAAATGAAGTAAAATCTGGCAAGCAGATTAATCCCAGAATCCCATTCAGTTTTCAGCTGTGACAGAGTTAATTGGTTTACTCCAAAACAGACTCAAATCCTGCTAGCATAACTGCAAGTATGGAATGAGGATTTCAACAACTTGACAAGCTATGCTGAGCACACAGATAGATCTGCAGGGACACAGTAGGACTTCACTTTGTTATTATAATTAGTCTTTCTTTTCCATACATATTTGGGGCTTTAGATATATTCTTGCTGTAAGTTTCCAAAACAGGATGAAGAATGTTAAAGGGGCATAGAGAGATCTTTTTTCCTTATTACTTTTTTATTATTATTCAAATCTCATAGCTAGCTTTCTTGTCTAAACTTTAATTCCACTAAGAGCTCTTTTTTTGAAGAGCAGTAACTTCTCTGATTAGACAAAGGAATGTGTTCTTTAAGACTGCGGATATTAGCATGTGGGAAATGAGTTCATATTCTGCCCTTTGTAGATCAAATGTATTAATACTATATAACTCAGTTCAAAACCACAGATTTATGCAAATGGTGGAATGAGGAAAAAATCCTGTCAGATACATATTTTATTTTACTGTATAAATAGATATAAATAGATGTAGGGAAGACTGACAATTAAAAAGTTCAGAATTTAGATATGAAGACATGTAGCAGCTATGTAGACTATGCTTAATTTGTAACTAGAGTACACTTTAGTGTGTGGGATTGGATATTGCTTTGCAATATTTATATTGTAGTAACATGTATAGCTGCCAATTTGCATGGGGTCCTGCTGTGCTAGTCACTATCAAAATGCAGTCTTAAAGGTTAATTTCAAGTCTAACATCTGTAATTCCATTCTTTCTTTCAGATGCCCCATACTCAGTTGGTGGGAATAAAGACATCACTATTAACTTGTTCATTCATTCAGTTTGGCCTGTGATTTATCCATAGCTTGCATGCATAAGAAATTTTCCATATGAATTTTTGTACATCATTGCTGTGACCATGGAGCAGACTAGGGACTGGACTGCAACTGCTCCAGGAATTAAGTCATCTGTGTCAGCCATATATTTCCTGCTTTTCACCCGCTGAGTTATTCTGGTCAATGGGACAGTTGCAGAAAGGCTGAAAATTCCCTATCTCCTTTCCTGGATAAAAGTAGGCAGCTTCACAGGTAATCATTTGCAGAGGTGATGATTTGCACATTTAATTGTGCCTTGAAAAACTGAAGCTGAATTTCTAACCCTTATTGGCTAAGTATGTCAAAGGGAAGTGTTTTCTTTTCCCAACAAGGCAAATGTAACATTTACAGGCAAAAAGACTTAAAAACATTCACAAACTTTGAGTAGGCTTTCCCTATTAAAAAATGAGAATAAACAGAGAGTTCACTTTTGGTCAGAATTTACAGCAATGAACTGAAAGATTCAAGTCAGCAAACAGACATAACATACAGTAGAAGTGAATTTCTTAGTAATAATAGTTTCTGGCAGTTTATAATTATGCTTCTAAATGACAGTAGAACAATCTGAGAAATATTTGAAAAACATTCTAAGAATATTTATTCTACACATATACTTAGTCTGCCACTCATTTTTCACTTACCATTCCTTCTCCCACACTCCCCCTTTCTCTGCTTCTCTTCAACAGTCAGTACGCATGTTTAACTGAATAAAAGTGCTAGATGGTAAGGCCATGACTCCACAATAAGATTTAATTATGAGTGCAGATATGAACAAGATTTAGACTATTAAGCCCTGCACTTCAAAAACCCTTTAACATATTTTGTCTTTAAATCTTTTATCACCTGCAAAAATTAATTAAGTGCAGATGTAACAGGTTAGGTTTTGATGCCAGGGTTCATTTCCTGTCTATGCTTTGTCAGACACCCTATTACACCTCGTCATGAACTGTAGGAAAACAAAAATGGTGCTCATAAATCAGCATTCAACTTTCCTTGGGCTGTGCATTGGGCTGATCCTTTAAGTGCAAGGCAGAGCTCCAATTCATTATTCATGAAAATAATATAGCCAACATGCCAAATGTCATCTGCATTTAAATAATCCATTTGTTAAACGTATTAAGTATTGTGTAAGAATGCCTTCTATTAAAATACAAGACTAATCCAATGAAGTGGATTTTTAATCACATAGCTTTCCTTCAGGGAACCACCAAATCCTTGCTTACATGACTAGAAAACTTCTTGGGGGGAATGACTTGTTGATTTTTTTTAATAATATCAAAGTTACACAAGTCAAATCATTGTGAACTGGGGAGAGTGGTCAATTTTGTTACCAATGCAACAACATTCTTTATAGAATATCTGACTACTTAAAGTTTCTATTCTGTAGGGAAAAGTAAACTTGAGTTCTGTAGGGTTATTTTAACAGTGGAAGTATCAATTCATTTAAGGACCATAAAAGTTGCCCTGATCTGTGCCTTCTTCTCATTAAATTGCAGTTAACACCATTAAAGTGAAACATAGATGTTTATAGCTTCAGTACTGCCATCCTGGCTTTAATGAGTTCCCAAAATCAGAGGAAATGCACACCTTTATTACTTGTAGGTATTAAAAGCAGGAAAGTCGGACTTATAAATACAAATTCATGATCTTTCATCTAGATGCACTGCGAGTGTGATGCTTGCCAAGAATACATACCAGATCTACAATCAATATCTTGCCTATATTTAGCTTGTCTCTCAAGTATTTGGCAGTAATTGCAATCGAATTAAAAAAGCAGAACCCCCTGTGGAATAGAGAAGAACAGAAATAAGAAAGCAAATCAGTCAGGAAAACAGCTATAAATAATGTTCAGAGCATTTTAAAAAATGCTATATGATCTCTGAGGCCATAAATCTGCTTCTGGGAGTACCTAGAAAGCCTTTTCAGTCATCTGCTAACAATTACAGTTCTTCAGAGACATGCACAATGCAGGTGATTGCCAGTAACCTTAGTGCTCCAAGATGGGCAATATTCCCTGGTACTTACATGGCTGTTGATTCTTCAGCATGATGGCCTGGGGGCCTTACAACAGCAAAGCCATTCTGTAAGAACAAGATAGGTTTTCAATTATCAGCTTAAAAAAATACTTGACTCAGAGCAAAACAGAGCAGCAGGCAGATGGGATTGAAATCTATTAGAGCCTCTTGAGCACTTTTTCTATCCAATCCCCCTTTCATAGTACTGCCAGAAATAATACAGTTGAGAACAGTGGCAAATAAATTTCTATAAATACACACATGCACACACATACACACACAACGTGATCTAAAGAGGAAGAAAAAGGCAGAATGAGAAAGCCCTGTTATGAATCCTGCTGTTTAGAATTTGCATTTAAAACAAAGGTCATCTAGGATCATGCAATCTTAATTTGCTCCATCTTGAGATGCTTCAAAAAGAAAAGTATCTTAAGGTATATATTTTACATGACTAGGCATTGTTGACCTTACCTCTGTATAGACTAAATGATAAATTCAGACCCCCCCCCACACACATAATTTCTAACAGTAGAAAAAGGATGACAATGAACATCCCATATTTCTGCAAACCATAAATTACACTTGGGAACCTGCCATGCTTGCAAGTTAATAGGTTCCCTGAAGTCAATTTCTAACACACTTTCTGGAACTGTAGATACATTTCATGAAGTACAGCACTGAAGATAAAAAGAAAAATGAAATTTCCATGCTTCCAATGTGGGTATGGTAAAGGGAAAATGTAGAAGTGGTGGCAAGGTAGCTCTATTCAGAAAGTCAGATTATATATTCAAGAAGCAGTGTCTCATAAGGTCATGTATTATATGAAATTTCTCTTACAACAGTTAGATTCAGGAGAAACTCCACTGCTTCATAGTATTTCCTCTTTATTTCAACTACCCAAGATGGTCCTTCTACTCAGCTACATATATGCCATCAAACTAATGACAATTACTACATACATAAAAATAAGAAATTATAATTATCTGTACATGAGATATCTGCCCAACTTGTATTTTCACAGAGCCCCACACAAACAACAGATGTGTATGTATGCCTGCATGACCAATCAAGCATTATATTTTCAGAGAGGAGGGGACAGGAAGAAAAAGACTGGAATACTTCTGTATTTTAATAATCAGTATTAAAATATTCCAGTCAAATATACTAAAACTTGATAAATGTAAATGTTTCAGCCTTCTCTTACCTGAAAAAGCATAACAATCATTCAACTTTCACTCACTTTGGTGTAAATACAGAGGAACATGGCAGTTAATAGTTACATTGGCTCCTGTGAAATCTGTTTATTTACAATCATATGGATGTGTGGTTTCTGTGTACCTGTGGAATTGTCTACCTAAGTTGCTTCACTGGCATTTATTTATAAATAAACACTACCATGTCGTCTTATTGAATTTGCTGCTAGACGTAATCCAAGCAGACAGCTGAAACGTTTTGTGGAGCATGGCCAAAGTTTTATCAAAGTACAGTAAACTTAAATTACAATACCAAGGGAGTGCATGTGCAACAGTTGTTCTTCTGGCCACCATTTAAAGAATCTGAGGGATTTGACATTATGACTTATTTTGCATTGTGTCCACATTAAAAAAACAAACCCAAACAAAACACAACAATCCAACAATTAAAGGCACAAAAATCATATGTTAGTATTCATGCAGGCATTCCTGGAGATGGGATATAAATTGCCTATACATCAAACACACCAGGAAAAAAAAAGAAAAAAAAAGGTATTGTGGACTGCACTAATTTGCAGAACTAAGCCAGCTTTAGACTCTCAGCTAAAACTGTATTCTCTACCTTTCTGAGGGTTTTTTAACATTTCCTTATCACACAAAAATATGACTTAGAGAAGAATTTGGCAAAGAACTCTTTTGCAGCATTTATGAAAAACCGAAGTATATTTATGCTGATGAATGTCAGGATAATGAGGTGAAAAAAAGACTCAGCAAAGAGGGTATTACTAGAGAAAGAGCATGATGCTACCTGTATTTTGTTCTCTCGATATTTTCAGGGATTTGGAAAAAGTCCACGAAAGGCTTACAGCTGCCCCTGCTCAACTAACAGCTCATTATCATCTAACTTTATCAGTATTCCCAAAAGATCAATATAATTAAGATGATTATCTCTAGGAGGATTTCATGGAGCAATATAGAGACAGAAAACACCAGCACTGCTGTTTTTGACAATATGACAGTTACAGTGTAGGCTTCTCATCGGTTGCCTTTGACAAGACTCTTTGGAAGCCCTGTTCTATTACATATAGATAATTTCTGAAATCAGAGCTTAGCTATTATAGTTCTCCACCAGCATGCAGGATATTCACAACAGCATCATGACCACTTTTTATGAGGTTTTTACATCACAAAAAGTTCAGAATTCACATTGGAAATTTTCTTTTTAAAAAATATTGTGCATATGTTACACTGACAATAAAACATACAGTTGAATTATACCAAACACTGAAAACTAGTTACCATACAAAACTATTGGAAATTTTGCGTAATTGATAAAACGCTTAATTTCTCTTACTTTCAAACTTTGCATGAACACAGTATACATTAGTACAATGGAACATTATTTTTTTTTTAATTTAGGCAATTTTAAATATCAGACAGTGAGCTCAGTGGACAGTAGAACAGTAGACGGAAAGGCAAAAATCTGCTTTAAAGATAGAAAGACTAACACAGAGCAGTATGTTGAAAATGAAGCCAACATACATAAATTCAAAGCGTTTTTGTACAGAGCCTTATTTATACTAGGATACAGACACCTTTATAAGTAGACAGAACATTAAACTGACTGACAGACACAAACATTAGAAAAACGATTCATGTCTGTGCCATTATGTGATTACCTTTATTTAAATGTGAGGATTAAGAATAAAGCCTGAATAGAGATATTCTAAAATCTGTGCCTGTTTGAACAACAAAGGAAGAGAAGTCTGCCCAGACTCAGTTTACACAGAAGATCAACTGCAGATAAACCTGCTGAGTTGGACTGTTAATGAAAACTAAGAAAAATGTTAGTCTTTTTCCACAGTCAGCTAAGTATTATCTTCTTTCATGACTCTAAATAGGTAATTAGATGCTTGATTTCCAAAACCGGAGGTGTACATCCTACTGTGGCCTTCTTGTCTTTGGTGGTCAAGTTAATCCCTTTCTGTAGTGTTCTGGGTTACAGTGGTGGTCTACATCATGCTTGGGCATCTACTGTGGCACTCCATGAACCTTTCCAAGACAAGTACTCAAGACAACACCGTAACATGGGTGGACAATCCAGGGCTTAGAACTGACCATCTATTGCAGAGTTCCACTGGTGTTTCTATTACATTACCTTCCTACAGGAGGTAAAACTAGACTCAGACAATTTGGGCAATATGTGGTCATTGTGGCAAGGTGTGAATGATTCTTCCATTCACATGACAGTGAGAGGCTTGCTCTGCCTAGATTCCAAGTGAATCAAGAGTTACCTGCTCAGTCAGGTGCTCTAGGTTTGGTGAGAAGCCTCACTGAGGAGCAGTGCATACTAGTTTCACCGGTACTACACTAGTAAAATCATCTGGCTTTTTTGCAGACTTCGAGAAAAGCCAGTGCCATGCAAAAAGTAGCAATAAACCACAGCAGGTACTCCAAGAACACTTATTGAAGCAGTAGAAGACTCAGGTTCAACTACTTCTTGAACATGGGGATGAATTTGTAATTTTGTTTCCCATACCACTTTGTGTATTTAGATTATGTGGTCCATAAAATAGATATTGAGACACATCTTTTCAGTCTGTGTTCTAACAATAGGTCTGGAGTCATGCTCTTCCTCAAACACAAAAATTGTTAATTATTATTAGAAATTGAAGGTCTTCTTGTATTTTAAGCTGTAAACCCCTGTATGAATGAGCAATGGCATCTATACTTCAAGAGGCAATGGGCACTGAAAGAGCAGAGGCTTCATATGAAAAATCCCTTTTGCTGTGTGGGTGACCAAGCAATACAACAGCTTGCCCAGAGAAGTTGCAGAGTCTCAATTCCTGGAGATATACAAAAGCCATCTGGATATACACCTAGGCAACTAGCTCTGGGCAGCTCTATTTGAGCAAGGGATGTGGAGCCAATGACCTCCTGAGGCCATTTCCAACCTCACCTGTTCTGTGTATTTCAGATGGAGACCAGGTAACTAACTGGAGGTCTGAATTCCACATTTGAAGCTCAACTTGCTCCTAAGGTTAAGTGTTGGAAGTTTTTAAATGCTACTTATCTAAATCCCTTAACCTATCTCAGAGTTACCAGTGCTTAAACAAGGCAGTCTTGGACATGAACTTACTTATAATGGAAAAGTCCTAATTTTGCTTCAATGTGCATACATTTCAGAATTAGAATTAGGCAGAAATGCATAATACATCATTGTACAGAAACGTCTCAGTCTGTCCTGTCAGAATTTATATTCCCCGAGTTATTTCTTTATTCATTTACTTATTTATTAATATACTTTTATCCTTATAAAGTTCATATAAAAAATAAATTTCTTTATATTTAAAACAAGATCCATACAGTGGAACTGACAGGTCTAATCCCTAAAGTGGCCTTAGTGCCATCTTTAATTCTGCCATCTCTGTTGTAGTCAAGTTGAACAATAACAAACATCAGGGCTTGCAACTGGTACCAGGAAGAAGATAACCATATTCTTCCCTGTGCCACTTATGCTGCAACACAATCCCAAGCTATGCCATCCATCAGGCAGGATAAGCATGAGAATGAGTGGTGTAAGGCTGAGGCAATCCTTGGGCACTTGTTTAGGGCAATTTTACAAGCTACTCATACAGCCAGAGCAGGAGTCAGCACTTGGCCCTGGGGGTCTACGAATGCAGTGAACAAGAACCTGTGATTTAAGAGAGCAGTATTAGCAGCATGTAGATTTGCCAAGAAAACAGTAATGGGCATGAGGGAATACTATTTTGTCTTGCAGAGGAAGCTAGTAGAGGCCAAGTACACAGAAATGGACATTAAACACTTAACTTTGATGG